CGCCTTTACTTCCCAGGACTTTACCCGGTACACATATAAGACTGCGTCGACCTTGCAGATTTTTGAAGTAAAAAACTGCTACTCTCGTGCATATATCTATTTAAATATAGACATCTAGTATATCTTTTTCTTCTTCCATAAAAACCGTTTGGCATGGTGTGGTGGTTTACAGCTAGGTCACATCTACTTTGAACAAACTCCTAATTCTTCGCCTTTTACGACATGCTTTATAAGAGACAGTGGGTCTATTTTACACCCCCACCCCTGTTCCATCCCAGTTGGGGGCCAAAGAACCGACCTGGGGAATCCTGTATATTAATGTGTGTGCATGAGAGAGCAAGTATTTACATAATTGAGAAATAAAAAAAAAAAAATGAATACACTCGATAACGAAAACCGGAAGATCACCTCAACACATAACAAAAACCGGATGAGACTTTCTTCGAACGCTTTTATAATCACGTAAGAATGTTAATTTATTTTCCGTATATTAATCATAGTCATCCTTGATATTTTATAAGTTAAATCTGTAAAATAGTTCGCCCTATATGTATTTCACTTAGTTAAATTTGCAAAATTTTGTATTATTTTGTTTATGCATTTGGAAACTGCAGTTAAAAACGTAAGTTCAGAAACAGCATGTTTCTCGATGAACAGGTTGTTAAATCATGTCACTGCTAGGTGGTGATCCCTAGGCCGTCATCAGGTGGTAACAAAATTAGACATTCTGTAAATACTTTGTGTAATTACAGCTACATTAGGTTGAAAAACCAAATCTATATTCGATTTTTTTCCCCAGCAATGTTGGCTGTTGCTTTGCTAGCTAGTCTAAGTCATAGTCAGTCATTAGTCATTACATTCGTTTACTTTTACAGTGAAAACCCGTTTTCTTTTTCCTAATTCCCCAACCCTGCTGCCAGCATATACACACATACGACTACATGCATACGCGTGAAAGTGAAAGTAAATTTGAAAAATTTGATATAAACCTGATAAGTATAGTAATGGCAGTTCAGCAAGTGGTAATTATCTTGTCAAACTTTTTGGAGCTCATTAAACCAAAATCTGTTCTGTATACTTAACTGTAAATAAAGTGAAAGTGAAAATCTTTTCCTGAAGTTGTAGCCACTGGTTCCATCATTGTTCTGTGAGTGTGACACCTGTCTCCTGATTATCATCAGATGAAAACACGTTTGTGATGAAGTTCATCATTAACAGTTTGGTTGGTCCTATCTGACCAGTTTGTTTTATCTGTACAGTATGAGTAAGTGTAAGTTATAACCCCACAGGGAAGCTTAGCACAACAGAGTGACTCACTCAGTGAGAATGTTACCAGATTCTAATAATGAGACAGTTTCTTAAATAAATGAAAGTTTCATTCATCAATGTAGCATCTTGACACTCTAGACCAGTAGGTCTTCAAAATGCCACGACTCTTTAACCCTCTTAGCACGGACGGGCCGATTATCGGCCGGCGGATGTCTAGCCAAAAACACGGAACGGCCGATGATCGGCCCGATCGTGTTTCGCCTCGAACCGCTAAGAAATCTCCTACTTTGAAACACTGAAAGTGATTCATTTATATTAACTGCGGTATCAGCTTTACACATGGCGACTTTCGAGTGTTTGGTATCGAAGTGAAAATTGTTGTTGAATTTTTTAGATAGTGACCTGAACCGCTAAAAGTATGTCTGACTCGTATGTTTCTGTCCCTAAACTTGATGTTGATAAAACATTTGAACCAAGTGAAGACACTAATTCTGTTGATACTGATGCAGGATTTAGTGTTAGTAGTAATAGTTGGAATCAGATGGGGACGCTGTTGTGTTCAGACCACAGCCCAACCATGGCTCAGGGTATATCCACCCGAAGGTGTTGACACTCCGGCACATCCATTTCTAGTGCTGACTGATGGTGAAAAACACATGTCACCTAAAGATTTTATTGCTGTTTCACATATATATACCTGTTTTTGACTATTGAATTGCTTACAACATTTGTAAAAAGGCCAAAGATCAATAAAAAGATTTCAAATAAAAAAAATTTTTGTTTTTAGTTTTATGTTTCAAGCATTGAAGTTGAAAATTCAAATTCATAATTTTTATTTTTAGATATGCAAATGAGATCATTTGCATATACATCAATTAATTTTAACGATATTGTGAAAATCACGAACTTCAATCTATATCCTTCAAATAGATATATTATTTCATGGGGGTCAGAATAACAGAAATCTGTCAAAAAAATTAAATAAAGTAATAACCAAATTCACTGAAAAAATGCTCCGTGTTTTTGGCTAGACCTCTGAAAAACTTCCCGTGCTAAAAGGGTTAATGCATATCCTCATGTTATGACGACCCCAACTATACAATTATTTTCACTATTGCTTCATAACTTTGGTGAATATGTTTTCTGGTGGTCCTAGCCAGGTGACCCTCATTTTACCCACAGGTTGAGAACCACTGCTCTAGCCTTCTTATGTTTTGTGACCAATTTCACCTGTGAAGTTAATTTAATACTTTCTTATCTGGTTTGTTGGCACCTTCTCCTTGTTCGAGACAGTAGTTTTTAAAAATTATATTGTATTTATAGTCTAAGACATGTGAATAGCGGTCATTTATGGTCAGGAGTGCAGTTCCTACTGTCCATTCCACAGCACAAAGCCTGGGGAGTATTTTAGAAATCGTGTGTTGCTCATGCAACAATGATCTATCTATTCTCTGCCTGTCTTGTTTTCTCCAATAGAAAGGTACCAATGCATTTGGAACAAAGCAGAATTAGAAGGGCGCTGCCTTATGTGTCTGTCGGTCAGGTCAGAGCTTCTCACAGACCAGCTAAAAACAAGGCTAGGGGCCAGGTTTGCCCTGTCATAATATTAGTGTTGTACTACTTCTTCCTACCTGGTCACAGTATTGAAAAAAAATAATGTAGAGCTTAGATCATAGAATGAGTCACTAAATACTATTTACTATTTGTATTATTGTATGCTCAGATAAGAATTTAGACCGCTGTTGCCTGAAAATGGAGCTAACACTAACACATGTCTGATTGACAGGGCCATAATTATTTGTTGGAGTTATTTTGCACTAATTTTTTTCTCTCCAGATTTTATGTTTCTCCATGCCTGGTAATATTTTGATTGGCTAATTTTAACATAGTTTTCATAAAGTACGTGTGCACATTGGGTAATGTAAGGTTAAGCAATATAATTTTGGTTGTTTTTATTTTTTAAATAGATGCACTTGTAAGTTAAATGTAGCTCGTTCATTTTAGAGTAAACTATTAGATCAATGATTATTTTATTTTAACTAACAAATAATACTATTAAAAACTGAAATTATGAAGCTGGTTTTAAATTAATATTAATGTGTCCAAAAGCTTGGTTATGAACATAACACACATTTACAACCCTACAGGGAAACAAGTTCACTAAAAGCAGTCAGGACAGACATGCAAAATATGCCTGGCATTAAATTGTGCAATGTATTGTGTCCGATTTATTTTAACCCAGTGCGGAGAAAAACAATTTTGAATAAACTTAAAATGCAAAAGCAATATGAAAATGTGCTTAAATTACCTCATATATTAGATGACAAAGAGCATGCATCTTTCCCATTGCAACAAACGCCTGTGAGACCTGGACACTTACTAGACAGACTGAACAGTGCATAAATACCTTCGAATAAAAATTTTTATCGTTGGGTTCTAAAAATGTCATTGGTAAAGAAATAACAAATGCATCCATACTGAACTGAATATAGAAGAAGGTTGGCTGTTAAAGACAATAAAACACAGACAATTGAAATATTTTGGTCACTTAAAACGTCACAAAAGTTTAGAGAGAACAATAATGGAGGGGTATATGCCTGGGAAGATGGGTGCAGAATGTGGCGGATAATCTCCAGATGGGTGTATCGGACACGAGACATCTTGCTTGTGATCAAGCTTTTTTGGAGGGTTGTTATGGAAGCAAGATTCTGCAAAGGATATGCTACTGACTCACTGACTGATTAGATGATTTAAGAGCTAATGATAGTGAAAGGCCATGGTCTCAAATTCCTCACCGTGGTGAAACTAGCTATGGTCCCTACATGGTCTTTGCCAGTATGGAAAAGTGGCACATTGTTCTTTGTAGATATTTAGACAAATAATAATTACCACATTATACACCTTAAAAACTAATAAGATACAGCTAAATACCTAATGGCTTGTGACCACATAGGTGGGGACAAAAACATAGACTTTATCTATGATCATGTGAGATATTGAACCATCACAGGTAAATACCTAATGGCTTTTGACCACGTTGGTGGGGATAAGAACATAAGACTTCATCCATGATCATGTGAGAACCATCAGAACCTAAGCTCAAGAATTTGGCTCAGTATGATGATATGAAATAGTAAAGAATGCATTGTCTATAACAGAAACAAATCTGGTCTCCCTCATTAAATTTGCAGATTCACTAACACGGGGAATACAGAAAAAAAAAAGGAATGACAAAGCAAGAGCACATTGATAAATAAAAAAATAAAAATGTGATTTCTACAAAATTTGACTACCATGCACCCTCTGCTGTCTTTGGAGGCCCCAATCTCTTATACAGGGCAACTCTCTGAAAACCCCTACAAAAATGGTTTCTGCTGCTGGAATCAAACCCTACCGCTGAGGATCATGAAATTGTTAAGCACATTTACTAAGCTACAGAGCTGGGTATTCGTCCATCTCTGGACTTTAGTCTTGTTCTACAACCTGAATGTTTTGTGCACATCTGTTTTACACATCTGACTTATTTGTATGCAGATTGTTGGTTCCTAGCCTCTCGGGCAGATGCAGTCTGACTTAGAAGGAAGCCCCCAGTTAGCCTCTTATGACATACTTGTTGGGAAGGCAGTGGGTTTGTTCGTTTTCCCCCGGCACCCACACAAGGAGAATTATGGCTTCTGTTATATAAGACAATCTCCTAGTGTGACACTTTGCTCACTTTTTCATTTACAGCAATGGCGGACGCAGCAGCAGCACCAGCCGGTGATAGCCCAAGGGGTGGGTTCCGTGGTGGCTTTGGAGACAGGGGCCGAGGCCGTGGTCGGGGTAGAGGTCGTGGCCGTGGCAGAGGTCGTGGCCGTGGGGCCAAAGATGGTGACAAAGAATGGGTACCTGTAACAAAGCTTGGACGGCTTGTTAAGGATGGCAAAATCAAGTCCTTGGAGGAGATTTATCTCTTTTCTTTGCCCATAAAAGTAAGTCTTGCAGGAGCACCTATATGTGTTTTTGTTTCTTAGGGAATCTTAAAAATAAAATAGCACAGTGTGTAAACAAAATATATATAATGTTGGCTAGAGCAAATTAGCTGACTAGACCTTTGGGGATGGGGGGGTGTGTGTCCCTCACCGATACGATAAATTTTAGAATCAGACTTTGTGGGCATAAAAACCAAAACTTCTTGAAATATGAACCTTCGGTCTGATAACCCGTTGACACTCCTTAAATACTTCTTCTGGAGTTCAACAAATTATTTTGGCAACATTGTTTTCTCATAGTTCATGACAGTTGCCATTCATGTCTCGACATCCTTCTGCCTTTTTTTGTCAATTTCATATTTTTTAATACAGATGTTTTTTCCTACCTTGATGCTAAACTAGCAGATATCTTTCCCCCGCCTCTTTCCCTCCAATTCATCTTCTACTAATTTTCCTTTCTCATGCTGTTCTCGGGGATGATAATGATGTCGCTAGTTGAGGTTCCAACATGGCTGCAGACAAGGTACTTCCTATGGAAATCATTGTCTTTCACTGTCACATGTACATATTGGCAAAAAACTTGCAGATTTGAGCAAAATCTTGAAGCTTGCACATGCAAAGTAAAAAAAAAAACCCATATGCATAAGGCAGCCGTAAAGTGCGCCAAACACTAAAAAGATCCACATTAGAATTGTAGGCTCTACTGGCAAATTTGGCCGGTAAGCTGGACTGCTTCGGCCGGCTTAGCGGGAGTTATGTCCCTTCGCCAAACTCAAAACAAGTCACGGAAAAAGTCACGAATCAAATGACATACTTACCTATCATCATCCGGGTGCGTGTAAGGCTGCATAGGGTTGCGTCTAGGGTTACCTATCATCATACGGTTGCGCGTAGGGTGTCTATCATCATCATCATACGGTTGCGTGTAGGGATGCGTATGGTGTCTATCATCATCATCATACGGTTGCGTAGGGTTTGGGTTAGGGGTAGGGTTAGGGTTAGATGATGTGAAAATATTCACGTAGGAGGTGGAAATACTGGCCGACAATCTGATGCTTGTGGGAGTTGCACTGGAAGTGTGCCAAATATGACGGCAATAGCGCACGGCTGGTGCCCAATCGGTGGCGAATTGTCCGTGTCAGTAGCATCCACCGTTCGTCGACTGTTTGCGCGTGCATGCGACTGCGCGATTGTAGGGAACTACGGTGTCACAATTGTCACATCTAACGCCACACCTAACCCTAAACCCTAACCCTACCCCTCATCTATCTTACGCAAACAACCAACCCTACACGCAATAAGCAGCCCTACACGCAACCGTAGGACGATGATAGACACCCTACGCAACCCTACACGCACCCAGATGATGATAGGTAAGTATGCCGTTTGATTCGTGACTTTTTCCGCGACTTGTTTTGAGTTTGACCAGTGGACATAACTCCCACTAAGCTGACCGGCCAAATTTGCCAGTAGAGCCGAGTTGTATCTTAGTACTGGTGCAGAGCAGTCAGAATAGATGGAGAGACATCAGACTGGTTTGGCATCAAGCAAGGAGTCCGTCAGGGATGTGTGCTGTCACCGTATTTGTTCAACCTGTACGCCGAAAATATAATGAGAAATGTAAGAGATGATATAAACAAGGAACAATATGATGCCCTAAACATCGGTGGTCATGAAATACCAGAAATTCGTTATGCTGATGATACAGTATTACTATCAACATCACAAAATGGTTTAGAAAACTTATTAACCTCACTCCAAAGAAATAGTGAAAATCATAACTTATTTCTTAAAATAGCAAAAACAAAGATAATGCATACAAACAAAACTGCCATGGAGAAGGAAATATATGTTAATGAGGAAAGATTGGAAGTGGTGGAAAATTTCGAATATCTTGGGTCACTGGTTACCAACAATGGTGACACAATGAAAGAAATTAAACGGCGACTATCAATTGCTCTTCAAAGACTAAAACAACTGAATAAATTATGGAATTGTACAGATAGAATTACAAAGGTCAGATTTTTAAGAGCATGCATCTTTCCCATTGCAACATACGCCTGTGAGACCTGGACACTTACTAAACAAGCGGAACAGCGCATAAATGCATTTGAATATAAATGTTACAGACAGGTTCTAAGAATATCTTGGGTAAAGAAAAGAACAAATGCATCCATACTTCAAGAGCTGAATATTGAAGAGGGTTGGCTAGTAAAGACAATAAAACAAAGAAAATGAAATATTTTGGTCACTTGAAACGTCATAGAAGTCTAGAGAGAACAATAATGGAGGGGTATATGCCTGGGAAGAGAGGAAGAGGAAGGCCAAGGAGAAGATGGGTGCAGGATGTGGCAGATGATCTCCAGATGGGTGTATCAGACGCAGGACATCTTGCTCAGGATAGGAAGGTTTTCCGGAGGGTTGTTATGGCAGCGAGGTCCGCGAGGGACATGCTACTGAATGAATGAATGAATGAACTGGTGCAGACGCAGTCAAGAAATCTGGCATTGCATCTCAACAAGTACACGCTATTCTGAAGATAAATAGCAACCGCCATTTTAGTATAGTCAACCACACACAGGCACAATGGGAAAACCCTATTCCACAACATGAAATTCACAGCTCATTGTTGCATTAGTTGCTCAGCTCAGTTGCTGGGCGACAAAACCTTTGGTTTCCCAGTCTAGAAATGGGAGAATTTGCACCTGCAAAATCAAGCTAAAAACTTTTTAAGGATATCCATTCTTACTGTGGTTTCTGGGGCCTTCATTGTGGGGGAAAAGAATAGATCCACTGCCTACCCAGCATCTGCCCGAGCGGTAAGGAACAACCAGCTGCACACAAATAAGGCAGTAAAACGGATGTGCACACAAAACTCGGGCCCTGGCACAAAGTCAAAGTCTGGACGAACAACCAGGAATTTCTGCTGGAGCTTACAGCCGGTGAACAAAGAAGAATATCAATGGTCAGCTGGATATCGGTCCTAATGGTGTATTATGATAGTTGCTCTTAGGTGTGATCTGCTGCTGATATGCATTAGCAAAGTTTATTGGTTTAATGAACTTTTATATATTTTGAAACCGCCCTTTCACACTGACTATACTTTGTATATACGAGTCAGTTTGAGTTAATGAATTCTCATCAAGATTTTCAACACTTGTCTCTTTTCACAGGAGTGTGACATTATTGACTTTTTCCTACCACCTGGAACATTGAAGGATGAAGTTCTCAAGATCATGCCTGTACAGAAGCAGACTCGTGCTGGTCAGAGAACCAGATTTAAGGTTAGTCTTTGTCTGTGGATGAATATGTTTGCATGTCTTTCCTCTCTCTCTTTCTGCTGTATTTTTGAACAATTCATAAGCCCTCATTGGGAATCATATCGTTTGCCCAGGCCAGGTAGGTCTCATTGGTAATGAGCAGGGAAATAGGTTAGCTGGACTGGCTCTATTTGTGTGTGTACTTTCACCTGTACATGACAGAGGTGATCTCTTGCCGGTGGGGCGAGATCACAAGTAAAATAAAATATTGAAAACTCATACCTGGTGAGAGTGACTCACAGTGTCTGGTGTCATTTTGTCCCTGAATCTGTTTTTAGGTTCATTCATTTCTTATACTGTGTAGGTTCCAGTGCAAGGACATTCCAATTAAACTTATCAGCTTTTCTCAGTATGTCCTATATAGTGGCAGTATTTGTTTTTCTCACTTCTTGATCCACTGCAGTTTGTTTAGTTTTCAGTGTTAGGAAACAAGGAAGTCCAGTTCCTTGGCCTTGGTTAGCAGCTGGTTTAGGATGGAAGGTCTGACAGCACTGCTTTTTAAGTCTGACAGCTTCTATACAGCATGCTTTGCTCCAGAGGTATTGGTAAAACCTTTCCTTTAAAATCAACAAGGCAGGTCAAGATAGCTAGAGGGAATTCTGCATGTGCAAAATATGGTATCTACAACACTGCCCTGGCTCTTTATACTATGGAGAGCAGGAACTTCATTCCCATACCTTCCTATAATACAATAGGTTTTAAACAACGGATCATCATAGCACAAGATGAGTAACTCATAAGTGCTCCGCTAACTCGGCCTGAGTCTGAAAAATCTCAGTGCAGAGCACAAACTCTGTAGCACCGGTGAGGAACCTGAATCACTTTGGGCAGATTTTGTCCGGGCAGCGCCGTTAGGCTACTCTTTTCGATTTCCAACTGCCAAGTTTTTTTGTTGTTGCTCAGCAGTACAAGCAAGTGTCTGATCTAACCACCCATAGATAGACCAGGGGAATTTGCTAGACCAGCTGAAAAAATCCCAACCTTCACAGCGGCTTGAACGCAGGACCTCCAGCACTCGAGGTGAACGCTGTGCCTCGGGACCATGCAGCCCCCCCCCCCTCCCCATATGTGTTGTCTGGAAAGGTAGAAAAGTGCCCAAAACATAATATATTTACTGAATGGATTCATAATTTATTGTCCTGCAGGCTTTTGTCGCAGTTGGTGACTACAATGGCCACGTGGGCTTGGGTGTAAAATGCTCCAAGGAAGTGGCAACTGCCATTCGTGGAGCTATCATCTTGGCCAAGCTTTCTGTCATTCCAGTGAGGAGAGGCTACTGGGGCAACAAAATTGGCAAACCCCATACAGTGCCCTGTAAGGTAAATATCTCTGTTAGAAGCTTTATATCGCTCACATGAAAATAGTACAGGTAAGTATTGACTGAGATTTTTTCATCAGAGTTCAAGCTCTGCATAAAATTAATTATGTGCATTTTGTTAAAAATTGCTAGTTTTTCACCTGTAATGCTAACATGAAGTGATTGAAATAAGAGCTCACCCCCCCCCCCCCCCCCCCCTCTTCCACGTGCATTTTCTCTGTATATGAAACATCTTAATTGTCCCAGTTTTATCGCCACGTTTTTATCGGTTTTTTTTTTTTTTGGCGTATTGATTTTGTTCCCATCATTTAAATTTGTATTTCTGTGATTTATCTTCTACCTCTAGCAATGGAAAGGCAAAACCTTGTTAATTATGGAGATGGTAAATAATAAGCATCCATTAAAAAAGCTTATTTAAGAACAGTTTAATCATTGAAACCAACACACAAAAAGAGAGAGCAAACAGAATAGACAGTTGAGATAACTTTTGTTTATATTCTCATCCAGGTGACAGGAAAATGTGGCAGTGTTTTGGTTCGTCTGATTCCTGCTCCCAGGGGAACTGGCATTGTCAGTGCCCCGGTTCCCAAGAAGCTGCTGACCATGGCTGGAATTGAGGATTGCTACACCTCTGCCAGAGGCGCTACCTCCACTCTTGGAAACTTTGGTATGTGTTTTCATTGTTTTAGATAAATGGTTTCTTGTGTCAGTTTAGCAAATAACTATTGCGTTTACACAAATGCTGTTGGTATGCGTGGAATTTAAACTCTGACTGGCTGACGAAGATGGGGACGGACCGCTTATGCGAATGTCCTGAGTGCTTTGATGTCACTTCTTAACTCTGCTCTTTGTTTGATTGGATGTAAAGTCTGTGCAAAAGTCCTACATCAAAACTACAGAACAGGAGTTTAAAGCATGACCACTATGAATGAAGCATGCTTGGTAGAAGACTGGAACACTTTTGCATAAGCCTAATGTGCACTGACGAGTATCCTTTGATGAACATTGAATAGACTTAAACGAATCCCGAATCAAAGATTTAGTTGAAAAATTTGTGCCAACAATGGGCTCGAAAAATCTGCTAGGATAACAATTTTATTCATGATTTCACTTTAGCTGAGTTTTCTTCTTAAGCCAGTTCGTGTTGACGAGGTTTTACTCTGTTGATAATCTAGGTTTCACATTTATCACCACCTTTATCTTCCTGGCATTTATTTTCATTCTATTAGGTCCTGTGTAGTCTTTGTTTGTTTTGTTCTTAACAAATGTGTTATATTTGCAACATTTCAGACGTCTTTACTTGAATAAAACATCTTTTTTAGTAATGAAATATGTGGAATATAGAAACCTATTTGTACCCCTATGTCTCTAGTAGCCAAAAATTTAGCATCACTGGGCATGACAGATCACCACGAAACCTCTGTTTTGCTGCTTTGGCCGGTCCCTGACAAAATTAGTTACTACATTAGTTCTGTTCGCACCTGCAAACTGTTTTGCGTAGTTGGATATTATATTTATTTAAAAAGGCATTAAAGAAGGTGTTTTTTTTTCTTTTTTAAGTTATGCCTTGGCACATAGCAATTGTGTGAAGTTATAAGCCACCGTATAAAGGTGTATACCATTTAATTATCCGCGTCATTTGTGTTTATTGATTATGCCTATATATATTGCTGACGTATTTAAAATACCTTTTGTTAGAGATTTTTTCGCTGAGAATTCCTGGTCCCCCACCACCAATTACAAGGCTTCTTGGGGTGAAAGTGTTAAATCGACTAGGCAGTTGGCGTCAGTGAAATAACCAAATGTTTTATGTCGTTCTCAGCAAAGGCTACCTATGCTGCCATAGCAAAGACTTATTCATACCTGACTCCTGACCTTTGGAAAGAGACTGTGTTCACCAAGCCTCCATACCAGGAATTCACGGACTACCTGATGAAAAACCACTCTAGAACAGCGGTTCAGCGCCAGGAGCAGAAGGTGTACTAACCTGACAGAGAGCTGATACCAACCACTGAGATAGTGGCAAATTGACAATGTTCTTCATTTAAAATTTTACCAGTAGCATTTATTCTGTTTCTATGAAAAGGGAAGTTTGGAAAAGGAAAAAACTTTTTGACATTTTCAATTGATAATGAACAATTTAACTAAATAAATGGTGTCCTCATGAAGAAGCACTTCTCTGGTTGATGGTTTCTTTCTTGGGTTGTGGGTCATGCTTGTTCAGTCTGTATGTCATGAGTATGGTTAAGACTTTTTCAGTCTATATGCTATGGGTTGTAAGTAAGGCTTGTTCAGTCTGTATGTCATGGGTTGTAAGTAAAGCTTGTTCAATCTGTATGTCATGGGTTGTAAGGCAGGCTTGTTCAGTCTGTATGTCATGGGTTGTAAGTAAGGCTTGTTCAGTCTGTATGTCATGGGTTGTAAGTAAGGCTTGTTCAGTCTGTGTGTCATGGGTTGTAAGTAAGGCTTGTTCAGTCTGTATGTCATGGGTTGTAAGTAAAGCTTGTTCAATCTGTATGTCATGGGTTGTAAGGCAGGCTTGTTCAGTCTGTATGTCATGGGTTGTAAGTAAGGCTTGTTCAGTCTGTATGTCATGGGTTGTAAGTAAGGCTTGTTCAGTCTGTATGTCATGGGTTGTAAGTAAGGCTTGTTCAGTCTGTATGTCATGGGTTGTTAGGCTTGTTCAGTCTGTGTGTCATGGGTTGTTAGGCTTGTTCAGTCTGTGTGTCATGGGTTGTAAGGAAGGCTTGTTCAGTCTGTATGTCATGGGTTGTAAGTAAGGCTTGTTCAGTCTGTAAGTCATGGGTTGTAATTAAGGCTTGTTCAGTCTGTATGTCGTGGGTTGTAATTAAGGCTTGTTCAGTCTGTATGTCGTGGGTTGTAATTAAGGCTTGTTTGTATGTCATGGGTTGTTAGGCTTGTTCAGTCTGTGTGTCATGGGTTGTAAGGAAGGCTTGTTCAGTCTGTATGTCATGGGTTGTAAGTAAGGCTTGTTCAGTCTTGTGTGATCTGGATTATGAGTAGATAGTAATGCAGGTCAGCAGAATTCCTAGTCCCCTACATATCGGATTGAATGGTACTTGTCTGAAGCAAGTTAATAAAAGAATTAAAATATCTAGGAAGTGTATGCTCTGAGGCTGGGAAAATAGATCGGGAGATAAAAACAAGATGCCAGTGAGCCATTGCACTTGTATACCAACAAACACGGTTATTAAGACATCCAGAGACGTGAGCACCAAGAAACAATATAAATCGCACATTCATACCAAAACTGTACTACTGGTGCTAGACTTTGACATTATCAAAGGCTAACCTTCGTTACCACCTGTGAAATGAGATGCCAGAGAAAGCCGCCAACTTAACGCAAGAGGCCACCCTAGGAGACGATGGATTGATAAAAAATTTCATTGACAACGAAGACAATAGCCATGCTGATAAGCAATGGATTGCAAACCTTCCCACAACACTCAGCGGCAGAAGTGGAAATTGATAATGATAGTCCAGTTTTGTTTGATGGCCTGGGTTGTGAGTAGTCGCTAGTTCTGTTTTGTGTGGTGACCTGGGTTGTAAGTAGTCGCTAGTTCTGTCTTGTGTGATAGCCTGGGTTGTGAGTAGTCGCTAGTTCTGTCTTGTGTGATGACCTGGGTTGTGAGTAGTTGCTAGGGGTCCAAATGGAGCAATGATGCGCAATACAAGACTCTTAATGTCTATTAGCCTCTCTTGCTCAAGCCTACCTCACCTTCACGTGGTGGACCCTGTTCTTCCCAGCAATCCAGTTGAAGGTTGGGGTCTTAACCCCCAGCGGGAAACTGGATGGGACAACAAACGAGGTAAAGGCGAAGGGATGAGCCTACTCTCCCTCCCAAGAGATCCTGAAGTCGGAAATACTGGGCCAGAAGGCGGATCAAAAACCACAGTACTACGCAACCCCACGCTATATATATGTTTACACCGTCAGACACATTTAATGTTGGTGCTCGCCCTGTGGAACTCCACCAGGCAGGTGCAGTGCCGGGTTCTGAGCCTCGACAGAATCCACCCCCAGCTACTGGAGGACCTCCTAGGCCGTCTTGTGGAGTCAGGAGACGGCGGAGGATAGCTACTGACCAAAACCAGTTAGACAAAAAAGATCCCAAATTGCCTTTTGTCATTATGCACTGGAATGCAGAGGGGGTCAGCAGTAAGCAGGCTGGCTACAGCAAAAAGTTGGAGCTGGAAAACATCCTCTATGAAAAGCATGTCAGTGTATGCTGCATCCAAGAGACCCATTTGCAGGCAGATAAGATATTTAAAGTGAGAGGCTACCAGTGCTTCAGATCTGACAGACAAGGCAGGCGAAAAGGAGGAGTACTCACCCTTGTGAAAAACAGTATCCATCCATGCGAGAAAATGTCTTATATGGATGGAGCTGAGTACCAACTCCTGCAGCTTAAGACAGACAAAGTGGAATTAGAACTCCTTAATTACTACTGTCCCAATGACAAATCGCTAAACCTCAGCTCTGTGCCAGTACCAAACACCAACTTTATTGCAGTTGGAGACTTCAACAGTCATTCACAGAGCTGGGGCTATAACCATCTCGACAATAGGGGTGAAGAGGTGGAAACATGGCAAGATGACCACTATCTGATCCTGATAAATGCCCCCTCAGATACGCCTACCTTCTACTCCAGAAGGTGGCAGACAACGTCGACCCCAGATCTTGCCTTCTCTACCCCAGATATATCTGGAATGATAAGTAGAGAGGTGGGAGACCAGCTTGGGGGCAGTGACCATCGCCCGATTTTTCTCACTGTCCAGAATGTACCAGTTAATACAGGCCCAGTCATCACAAGATGGAACTACAAGAAAGCCAACTGGGGCCTGTACAGACACAGGACAAGCACATTGTTGTCTGCTCTCAAGGTACAAAATAGGGATATCAATGCTATAGTGCACGATTTCAATAGAAGTATTCTACAAGCTGCAAAAGAAGCAATCCCCAGAGGCTGTCGACACAACTATAGACCGTACTGGTCCAGCACACTCCAGGAATGCCAGGAAACAATGAATCAGGCTAGAAAGGATGCAGAATCCCAACCTTCACCTGACAACCACACCTAATGGAAAAAGGCTGTAGCAGTGTTCCAGAGAACTAAACTTGAAGAAAAACGGAAAAGCTGGAGAAATAAAACAGAAGCTCTAAACCTTGATAAAGATGGCAAGAAACTCTGGAGATTAGCCAAATCACTCAATGAAGAGAGTTTCTCGCCTAGACAAACAATCACGCTAAGTGATGGTGACAAAATCTTCAGAGGAAAACAAGCTGCAGATTTGTTTGCCAAAACATTCAGTGTTGAAAGCAACCTGACCCTTAATGAGGACCATCAGAGAGAAATAAGGAAAGAAATACAAACAAGCAAACAAACAAATAAGAGACAGACAGATACTCCTGCCTCTATGAGGGAGCCATTTACCATGGGTGAACTACAAAATGCCATCTTTAGGCTTAAGTTAAAAAAGTCTGCAGGTCCAGATGAAATCAGCAACGAAATGCTAATCAACCTGACCTCATCTGCTAAAGTAAAGCTGCTGGAAATTTTCAACATCAGCTGGGAGAAAGGTTTAGTGCCTCAAGTATGGAGAGAAGCCATCACAATACCCATTTTAAAAAAAGGAAAAATTAAGACACAGGCTTCGAGCTATCGCCCAATTAGTCTCACAAGCTGTGTAGGAAAGACATTGGAAAGAATTGTAAATTCAAGACTGAAATGGCACTTAGAATCTGAGCAGATCTTGGTGCCAGAGCAGGCTGGGTTTAGGGAATGTCACAGCATAGAAGATCAAGTCACCTACCTGTCACAAGCTGTAGAGGATGCCTTCCAAGAGAAGAAAAAGGTCCTGGCGGTATGGGTTGACTTCAAACAAGCTTTTGACAAAGTCTGGAAAGATTGTCTCATTGCAAAACTGAAGAGAAATGGAATCCAAGGAAACATGCTAAAATGGATCCAATCCTTCTTACACAGCAGAAAAACTAGAGTCAGTCTTGATGGACAGCAGAGTAGAAAAGTGTTACTTCGGCAAGGAGTACCACAGGGAGGAGTTATCTCTCCAACTCTCTTTCTTGTGTATATAAATGATCTGGTGAAAGACCTCCCTACAGGAGTAAAAGCTGCCCTGTATGCAGATGATCTGGCACTCTGGTGTACCGATGAACACACCACAGTGGCAAATATAAGAATGCAGCGAGCAGCAGATCTCTTGATGACATGGGCAGAAAAATGGCATGTTGCCATCAACACAGACAAAACATCCACAACGCTTTTCTCTCTTTCCACCAGGGACAAAGCTGCTAGTATTCACCTAGGAACATCCTTGCTAAAGGAAGAAAGCTTCCCCACTTATCTTGGAGTAACATTTGATAAAAGGCTCACATGGAGCAAACATATAGAAAACGTAGAAGGGAAGGCCAGGAGACGACTAGGCCTACTTAGAAAATTGGCAGGTACAGGATGGGGAGCAAATGGAAAAACCCTAAAGAAAGTTTATAATGGAGCGATAAGACCCCACTTGGAGTTTGGTGCAACAGCATGGTCAACAGCTGCTAATTCCCACCTACAATCGTTAGACAGAGTGCAAAATCAAGCTCTTAGACTCATCACAGGATCCATGAAAACTGCACCAATCCTGAAGATGCAGAAAATAACTGCAATGCAGACATTGTCCTATAGAAGAGACACTAAAACTATGATCCAGATGGAGAAGTTTAATAGTATGCAGTCACACCCAATGAATAAAAGGTTAGATGATCTGGCATTAGGGCGTCTCAAACGTAGCAGCTTTGTCCATCGGGGGAAAAGACTTAGAAGACAGTATCAAGCTGATCTACCTATTAGAACAACACCGCTGAAACCTACCCTATACCCTGTACCTTGGGAGCAAGTCAGTGATACAATACAGATAATGACTTCAGTCAATGGATTCACAACTGGAGATGAGTCCAATGATCTTCAAAAACGAACAGCTGCTCTTAGCATGATTCATGAAAACTATCCCGAACAGTCATGGATACATATTTACACAGATGGATCAGCAACCAGCGCGGTTAAAAATGGGGGTGCTGGAGTCTTTATTACATACCCAGGCAACCACCGCCACACAAAGTGGATACCCACTGGTAAATTCTGTTCCAACTACACAGCAGAGATTGTAGCACTAGAGCAGGCTGCCGAAATGTTACACAACACCAGTTCTGACTGCCACCAAGTGGTTATATTCACAGATGCGCTTTCAGTGCTTCAAGTCCTCAAGAGTGGCAAACTCCCTCACTTGAGATCTAAACTTGGCAAGGTGGCTGCCCAAAAGTGTACTGTACTCCAGTGGGTGCCATCCCACTGTGGTATACCAGGAAACGAAACCGCAGATAAACTTGCTAAAAAAGGGGCAGAATGTGACCAAGAAGAGAATGCAGTAACATACTATGAGAAGAAAAGGGCCATCCAGGCTATCAGAAGTGAACAGAGTCTGGCCAGAGATGACTACCACTTACTTGACCGGCATGGGCAGGTCATTGTCCTACGTCTCAGGACAGGACATAACAAACTTAACCAGCATATGCACAGGCTTCGTCTGAGTAGTTCACCTTTTTGCCCTTGTGGGCTGTGTGTGCAGACTACAGAACATGTCCTGCAAGACTGTCCCTTGTTCAGCCCATTAAGAAAGGAATACTGGCCCAGTGAGTCACCACTGTACACAAAGTTGTATGGGACTAAAAATGAACTCATTAAAACAGTCAAGTTTATCACAGGAACCTGTCTGTCGGTGTAAATCAGAAAGCGAACACAAGAAGAAGAAGAAGAAGTAGTTGCTAGTTCTGTCTTGTGTGATGACCTGGGTTGTGAGTAGTCGCTAGTTCTGTCTTGTGTGATGGCCTGGGTTGTAAGTCACTAGTTGTGAAGGTGCTGGACTGACAATAATGAATTGATTTTAAGGATATGACGTATAATGGCACAACAGGACAATGATGTAACTGTCATATCAATCTATGCCATAATTAGGTTTGGCTGTCCACATAGGATATTCTTGGGAGACGTGTTTACTGTTTATCCACATCATATCTTCTCACTTGTAGTGCCAATGACCTCTTGCTTTTCTGTCAGCGTCTCCTTGAGCTCCCAACCCAGTATTGATTTTATTAGTGTGTCTAATATGATTAGACAGGACATGAATTATACAGGTATTGAGATGGATTGTGGGATCAGGATGGTAAAAGTGGGGGATCAAGAAGAGAATAAGAATAAAGGAGTTATTAATCAAAGATAGGTTTCAAGTCTAGAACTGCAAAGCATGTTAAATACATGAGTGGTAAAAATAATGGTGACTGCAGTCAAGCAGAATCCAAGAAATTAAGTGAGCTGTGTCTAAAAAAGCTCAACAAAATAAGGAAGCCAAAAAAAAAAAAATCAGCATTAACTGAGAAAGGCTCAGGCCAAATTTGAGTTTTTTTAATGCACATTTCACGGATTCCCCACTTCATTACACTTTTTAGACACAGTTCGCTGACAAATGCATGCAATAACAACCATGGTCCTGAAATTTTCAGTGGAAGACTTCTTAGACGAGCAGGTCTTGTTAAACTTCGCATCATAGTACTAGAGGAAAAGTCTGACCTGTGTAGGGTTATGATCACACTGGGCCGAGAATGCAGAGTGGCCAGCGGGTGCTACGGAGGTGAATGTCCAACATTTGATTCACAATTCAAGCTTTGATTATTTATCTATACTGGGGGTTCATAGCGAAAGCCAAAGGAAAATCTTAAGTGCAAGACAGCCTAGAATATGACATTACAACATCTAGCATGAGAGTGGAGGCGGTAACTTCAGCTCTCCTGTGGCTAGAGAACAAGATGCATACACATGTCGTAATTGTAACAGACTCTGAAAGCATGCTGAGAAAAGGTGAAGACAGGGATGCTTTCAGCAGAGTGGCAAGCTTCACTAGGAAGGCCACGGGTAGTGGGCATACTTTAGATCTTTTCTCCAGGCGATGCCGGCATAGTAGGTAATGAACAGGCAGACAGACTGGCTGGATCTGCACCACTGGGTGGTAAACTGAAACATGACAAAGCAGAAGTGGCCAAGGCCTCTTGGGAACAAGCAACAGAATACGTAAACAAGATTATTATGGCCTGGAGAGAATGAGGCACCTGGGTGTAAGCAGAGGGTCTGGATGCTCAATACACTCAGAGTAAAGGAAAGACGGACATATAATCAGATTGTGACCGGTACCATCAGTAATGCCGGTACCATCATTATTGGAACTCTGCGCTGAAGATGAGGACGAAGCACAAATGGGAAATGCCCGGAGTGCAGTGATGTCATTTCTCGGCTCAACTCAAATTATCATCACCATAGTGAAGCGTATGTTTACTTGTAGTAGTTTAACTTTCCTCTGGAAAAACAGAAAGGCACAGACGACTAATGTCTTCTTCTTCGCGTTCACTGGCTGTAAAATTTGGCGGGAAGTTCTGGTTATTTTCGTCCGTCTCTGGACATAAGTCTTGTTCCAGAATCTGAGTTGCGTGCACATCCATTTTACGGATCTGACTTACTTGTATGCAGACTGTTGATCCTTACCTCTCGGGCAGGTGTGCACTCTGACTTTGAAGCCCCCAATTAGTCGACTCTTATGATATGCTTGCTGGAGAGGCAGTATGTCTATTCTTGACACACATTTGGGTCGCGAAACCCACACTGGGGACACAACTAATGGAACTTCTGGTATCAGTATTGCAATGGGAAACAGTCTGTGTAAAACTGCCTCCCTATCCCCCACTGGGGAATAGACTTCTGAACTCATTGACTGACACTCGAGTTACCAAATCATTATAAATCTGGAGCGGTAAAAACTGATGTTCAATTCAGCTCCTTTAATAAAGTTGATGTTGGCTGTACTTCTGCTGAGATATGTGCCAATGAGTTTTGAAATGAAGTAGGGGATCTTGATTGTCAAAGTCCCAGTCGCTTATGAATTCCCCGGACTACACAGCTGATCACAGTCACCCCAACCAGAGTAATGTAAGTGCTTGAACATCTGCACCTCCATATGTCATCTGAGGATCGAAGTTGGTAGTATATATAGTCAGATAGCAAACACGCTGAGAAAACATACTATCTTCTCTTCTTCACTTCCTCTATTACTGCTCTGGGTGGCAAGGGAGATGAAAGGTTCTGCTTTTTGCTCATTAGGCCGCCTCGACCATAGACACGGCAAGCTGTTGTATGGTTTCTTTGATGTTTACATAAATTCTTGGTCTACCTCGTACTCTAGGTCCTTCTTCTCTTGTTGTGTATAATACGGCATTGCGAGAAAATGGAACATGTAGTGACCACTGGGAAAATTTGTAGAAGGAGGGATAGAGGAAGACAACAAGAGAAGATTCTTGACAGTCTTGTTGCATGGCATGGAGGTGTGTCAGCACTCGAACTGATATATGCTGCAGGAGATCGCAGATTGTGGAGAGGCATGATCACCCACGCCAGTTGGCAAGGCACCAGATAATGATGGCATTGCAAGGTATTCTAAGTCAAATTTGTAGAACCGATGTGCATGCAATACTCAGATTCTGGAACATGCCTGAAGTCCAGAGGTGGACGAACAACCAGAACTTTTCGATGGAGTTTACAGCATGTGTACGCGAAGAAGAAACGTATTGCATTCTAAAGTTTAGGGGTTGATTAAAATGATAACACCGACCCCCCTTAAATTTGTTGCATAGACCCCCAAAAGGCGAAAATTGTTCGACATAATAATAACTCATCTCATTCCCAGTTATGTATTTCTTCTGTGCTCTTATCTAAGCAGTTCTTGCTCACAATGCTGTCTAGACTTACATGGGTTAAAACAATATCACTGAAGTAACAATCTGCATAGGACAGATTAATGTTATAGCTAATTCTTCTTCTTCACGTTCACTGGCAGTAAACTCCGGCGAAAAGTTGAGGTTGTTTGTCCACTTGTGCACTTTATTCTTGTTCCAGAACCTGCGTGCAAATCTGTTTAACAGGTCTGACTTCATTGTATTCAGACTGTTGGTTCCTTGCTTCAGGCAGATGCACTCTAACTTTGAAGGAAAGGCCCCCCCCCCCCCCCCCCCAATTAGTTGACTATTACGACATGCATGTTGGGAGGCAGTATGTCTTTTCTTGTTTTCCTCACAATGGGGTCCTAAAACCCACAACTGAATGAAGCACTAAGGAATTCGTAAAACTATCAAGCAAGAGAACCCCAGAAACCCAATGGTGAATTGCTTGGTACTGATCAAGTTAATACTCGGAATTCGTATACAGAAAAGTGAGATAGCTGGCATATGCAGACGGTGGATAGAATCCCCGTAGAAGTTCTCAGGGCCAGGCGTTGTGTGGGAATAAAAAATGGCCTTTAGACCACTGTCACTTTGCTAGAACGACATAATTTCGTAATTAGAAAAATAGTTTAGTACAACGAAGACAACGCTTTCTGTACCTGAAAACTCAGTGCACATTTGTTGGTTTTGGTTGGCATATTGAATTCCTTGTTACCTGTCATGTAATCTCAGCAGAAAGACCAGGTTTCAGTTCAGTAGTACGCTGCACATACGTTTTACAGATTGGTTTCTTGTCTCTCGGGCAAATACACTCCGACTTCAAAGGAAACACCCATAATTAGTAGCCTTTGACGTCATGATTATTAAGGGACAACACCCCCCATCTCCCCAATGGGACCCTAAAACCTGAACGTGAATTGGGTAAACTAAGATGGCAATACAGTATATTGTGGAGGAATTACGTGAGTGGCGTTCAGGTCCTTGTCAGCTTCGGGTAAAGAACAGAATACAACCTATAAGTTCACATTAAAAATAAATGGAGACAGAGTTAAAAGTGCATCACTCGAGACATTCTGGTCAATGATTCACCCCTATCCTTGCGGCTAATGCAGAATTCCAGTACTAACGATGCTAGTCCTGGCCTGAATGTGTGCCAAACTTGTCGCTGAGTATTCAATTTCAAGCAGATGCTCCGGTCACTCCTGTTTGCATGTCATTAAACAGCGGTGATCTGTTCGCTCTTGCAAACTGAGAAAGAACACAAGACGGCTATTCCAGTCCCTGTTTAATCCGGGCTCAAAAGATAAAACAGAACATCAGGTTATTAGTCGGGGTTCCAAATTCATCGTACACAGCCTACACCGTAATTGCCAGATTAATACACTAGTGAAAACCACACAAAATGCTTGTCACTGTCCCATGTTAAAAATTAAGACTGCAGTCCCGGAAAAATCCACACACACACGCATCAAGTGCATAAGGCATACATCAGAGGTAACATTACTTATAGCCTGTCACTAGAATTGCCAGATTTACTCTGTAACCAACAAATCTAGTCCTAAGAACTAATTAAAAACAGCAGGTGTAAAAAGGGGGGGGGGGTTGAAAGGGGGACGGTGAGTGTTCATTTTACCGCCTTTCCTGGCAGAATAAATAGAGGACCAATTAATGCGCCATGAAGCATACTGGGAATATGTTTATAGACCAATCGCCACCATGTAGACAGGAAGCGTGATAACCACTGTGATACTGAACTCTCCTCCTGTGAGAGGCCAAATACTTAAATCTGCCCTGAGACAAGGCAGTCTTGAATATTGAAAACGACATTGCCTGAGATCGCAACAATTAGGTCTAAAATTCGGTATAGGAAAGACAAAGATAACGAGAATAAACCAGGCAAATGGAAGTCTAATTTCTTATTTGATATCCCACTTCAAGATGTAGAGTCATTCAACTCGGGCATTAATGTAGATAAAGATGGGGAAACTGATAGATAAATAAAAATGCGAAAGGCTTGGGGAGATAACATAACACCAGGACATTTGTGGAAGTCAAAGGAAATTAAAATTGATGCTAAACCTAAAAATTTTGAATTCCTAATCGGTAATGCTGTATATAACTGAAACATGGAGAACAACTAAATCAATAAATAAACTGCAAGCATGCATTAACAAGTGTCTACCAGGTATAGAGTGAATTCAGTGGTGTCATAGAATCTCTAATGTCGAGCTCTGGGACAGAATTAACCAAATTCCAATGAATCAAGAGGTGTGGGGGGGGGGGGGGGGGGGAGACGCTGATGGATGGAAGACACATGTAAAAAACCTGAAAGCAGTATAACCCGAATGTCTAGAATTGGAAGCCGAGGGGCATCGAAACAAAAGCAGATCAAAAACACACGAAGAAGGAAGCTAGAGCGTGAAGTTAAAAAGATAGGAAGAACAATGAATGAGATGCATGCAATAAGGACATGATATAATGACTTGGCGTGAGCTGGTTGATGGCCCGTCTTCCATTGGGGTATACAGACAGAAGAAGAAGAAGAAGAAAACGACAAGAAAGAAAAAGAATGCATTCCCCTGGCTACTTGATATATCTCATACATGTCATCTTATTTAGCAAACCATGTCGCTGGTGCTTGGGATTTCCTCTCAACGACCACTTCTCACATCCATATACCTACACTCCTTTAAAGCCAATTTTTTGACCAGGTATTCGTATCGCAGGAACCACGGCTGATAGCTCAGGACAGCTGCTGCGCTGACGAGTCCAATGACCAAGGTCAGATTGCAGACCGATCTGATCGTCTCACTTAAACGCGGACCGGCGTTGGTAACAACGTTTACCAGCAGAGACAGGCATGCTGCCAAGAGAAAGTAAGTAAGTAAAATTAAAGGACCCTTTTCCACCCCTTTAGGCATATAGAGCAAGACCTATATTTTATAGACCTCGGCACAAGATGGATGATGTTGTCAGCATCACGCCGGTCGCCTTTACTTCCCGGGACTGCACCCGGTACCCACTAAATGCTGGGTCAACGTGGCAGCCAAGGTTATTTTTGAAAAAAGTTCTGCTCCACCAGGGAGTGAACCCACGCCCTCCGATCCGCAGGCGAGTGTCTAGCTGCTCCGGCACGGCGACTCTCTGCCAACAGAAAGTATAAAAAAAATATACGGGCGAGCTAGTAACATCAGTTCTTCTTAAAGTTCATGCCCTGTGGCGTTAGTAGTCAAGTCCATCCATAACCTTGGGTCTCGTGTACTTTCAGTTAACGCTGACACAGATGATCCCTTGCCATGATGTTAAACTGTCTAGCATCTTTTCTCTTGTCTCCCTCTGCCTCCCCTCCCCTCCAATTTTCCCACTTTATCGATGTACTCCAGTTTTCTACTTCTTATCACAAAGAATTCAGATTGTCTCTTTTTGATGTGGGAAATCAGTTATCTTCGCGAGTCAGTTTCTTTGCATCAGTTCAAGTACGAGTAATCTGAAAATAAGTAAGTTGAAGTAAACGACCATTTTCTATGCCTTCAAGCCTATTGGACATACATGGCTCTGTCTATATCCTTGCATACACATGTGCACTGCCTTTTAACAAGCATATGCCCGGCTCTCTAGCGGAATTGGCTAAACCGGATTTCGCGGAGACCGGGTGACGTACTCCTTGTGGTCCGGGTTCAATCCCGGGGGTAGGCAGGAAAGCCACATTTTCTCCCAGATTTACGGTATTTACAATGGAATCAAGGCCGAAAGGTTGCGATATCCATAATACCGAGCCTAAGGGTTAACAACTCATGGCTTCTGGATATTAAAACAAACAAACAAACAACAAGCATATAGTAACAGTTGACTGACTGAAGCTTCATTCGAAGTCGGAGTGCATATGCATGAGAGGTAAGGAACCAACAATAAGTCAGATCTGTTAAGTGGATGTGCACGCAACAATCAGGTTCTGGAACAAGACCAACGTCCATAGGTGGCTGAACAACCAGAACTTTCCATCAGAGTTTATAACTAATGAACGCGAAGAAGACTCTCCAAAGAATGTATAATTGGGACATCCTTAATGGTCACACTAGCCTCGTGTTACCTGCAGTTCTATATGGGTAAAGCAGTGAACTTAATACAGTATTTCTATTATTGATTATCCTACTAAAAGGTGGTCTTCCAGGCTAGGGACAAAAAAGAGGAAGGGGCATAAGGCAGTTTCAAGGGGGCGTATTTGAAACACTCCAGATTTTCAGCTTTAACAGTCATGAAAGCAAAACAACGCTGCTAGCTTGATGTGGAGAGTGGTCTCCGCTATGCCTTGTCCAACACGAGACCAAACACAGCAGACATAATCAACACAAAACAGGCCAATCATCACATTGCTATTTGTACACTAAATTACCAGTTGTTGGTGACTGTTTCTTTTGTTAACTCTTTAAATGATGTACATGTTTTTTCTTCACGTTTTTGTTAAAAGTACTGCGGATTGTTTTTGCTTGTTCTCTTTATACATACTAGTCATCCCACTGTAAGATGCAATTTTTTTTTTTAAGCCTCATCCTGGCTCTTGCCAGGGTCCGCAATATAACCCAGCCATAAATATGGTTTCATGGCTGAACGCGTTTCCTGGGACTTCTCCACGGGTGATCCTCATCCACATGGTGACACTTTGTGTCATCGGGTGTTTATCGCTTGTGTGATGTCCTAGTGGGGTAAAATACACTACTACTACTACTACTACTACTACTACTACTACTACTACTACTACTACTACTACTACTACTACTACTACTACTACTACTACTACAAGTTTATTCTCTTTGTGTAAATCACATTTTGTTACGATGGGGCGGAGAGAAAAGGTAAAAAAAGGGGGGGGGGGGTGTCTTGCTATACACACAAGGGGCGTGCTTCCTGAAAAAAGTTTGGAGGCCACTGTACCATACACATTTCCCGTAAATACAGAATTAGGGAGATTGTCCTGAAAATAACCGAACAACAATAATGCTATATCATTTAGCAAATATACGCCAGTGAAATTATTTAACAACAAAGCTTATACTAATTCTGAAATCCACTAACTAAATGAATATTTGGAGATTTAAATGGGAGCAAAGAATGCGAATTTTTAGAAATACAGTGAGGGCCAGCAGATGACAATTTTCACAAGGACACATTGCAGTCAACTAAAATTAAAGGTAGATCTGGACAACTGTTCTGAATGTATCTCAAATTGACCTCAGAAATTACTAGTCAACTCACAAATCATAAGCCCATTTGAGACGTCATAACCGCCAGTCACCCGCCCATTTTCTGGCGCTGCTAGTGCTACTACCGATGCTAATTCTTCTTCTTCTTCTTCTTCTTCTTCTTCTTCTTCTTCTTCTTCTTCTTCTTCGTCTTCTTCTTCTTCTTCTTCTTCTTCTCCTTCTTCTTCTTCTTCTTCTTCTTCTTCTTCTTCTTCTTCTTCTTCTTCTTCTTCTTCTTCTTCTTCTTCTTCTTCTTCTTCTTCTTCTTCTTCTTCTTCTTCTTCTTCTTCTTCTTCTTCTTCTTCTTCTTCTTCTTCTTCTTTCTTCTTCTTCTTCTACTACTTCGTCTTCTTCTTCTTCTCTTCTTCTTCTTCTTCTTCTTCTTCTTCTTCTTCGTCTTCTTCTTCTTCTTCTTCTTCTTCTTCTCTTCTTCTTCTTCTTCTTCTTCTTCTTCTTCTTCTTCTTCTTCTTCTTCTTCTTCTTCTTCTTCTTCTTCTTCTTCTTCTTCTTCTTCATCACCCCTTATCACCTAAAGGAGTATATGCCCAAACTAATCTACACTGAATCGTCTTATCCTTTGCCATCTCGTGCAGTTTTCGCCATGTCTTCACCATAATTTCTACTTCCGTCTCTAGATCCCATCCATGAATCCTTTGACCTTGTGGGTTCCAGTGCAGACACAATCTAATTGTTATTAACAGATTTTCTAAGCACGAGTCCTTTCCAACATCAGCTTCCATTCCTCACCTCTCGAATCACTGAAATTCAGTCACTCACTATGGATACAGGTCACATAACAATGCCTTACCTATACAAGAAATCAACGCGACAAAATTCCAGAAGGTGTGAGAAATGTGCGTCCATACTAAAGTACACAAAACAACCCAGCACAGGAGACGCCGCCGGTCGCATGGGTTGTCTGCAGAGCTGTCTACAACCAGTCTGGTAAAAGAGCTCGCCCCTGTGTCGCAGAAGAGGAACCAGCGAAGCATGTCTGTTTTGGGGGAAAAAAATTACGTTGAGAACTTATATCACACAGTCAGTGGCTGATGTATTTAATTTCACTCTCTTGTCACTCTCATAAGATTTTCCTGGTATCCAATTAGGTTTGGTCGACCACGTCCGACTTAAGCTATTTATTGTCCACACAGCTCAAAGGGAATTTCCGTTTTGTGAAACCTCGAGAGACCGCTCTGTGTTCACAATTTTTATCGAGTAGATGTATATACAAATTAAACTACAGTTTCATTAATATGTAAAAGGTTTTATTAAGTGAATTATCATTCTGAAGATAATTAAGTTGTCTATTAGAAAATATAATATTTATTTTTTAAATACATGCAGCTATAAATATGGATAATTTTAACATTATTTACTCTACAGCAAGAAAACTCTAAAGACGTATTTATAGCTGCATGTATAGCTACCCCCTTTCCCCCACTAATACATGAAACACTGCAATAAGCTAATGACAGTTGAAAATATGCTATGAATAGATGGCCATGTAACATGTAGTTACAAATTCTATATATGGGTTCCAGGGCCCTGGTGTGAAGAAAACAAGAATAAACTCACTGCCTCCCAAGCGAGCATGTCGTAAGAGTCGACTCAATGTGGCTTCCTTCAAAGCCAGAATGCATCTGCCTGAGAGGCAATGAGCCATATAAATAAATCAGGTTTGTATAACATATGTGCACGCAACAATAAATGTCTGGAACAGGACTAAAGTCCAGATGTAAATAAACAACCAGAACTTTCTGCCAGAGTTTACAGATAGTGAACGCGAAAAAGAAGAAGGTGTACAGAAATGAACACAAATGGTTGAGGATTAATATTAGTGTACTTCTACAACATATAATTATACTGTAGGTAAACAATTAGTAAAGAGGCAAAGAGTGACTTGCTATGAGAGGTTAGTTATTATTTTTTTTTTAAATCTACCTACCCAGAGGCAGCCCCTAAATATCTTGACACAGTTTATCCACAGTGTAGTTGCACTAGGTCGGCGTCTGTGGCTTGAACGCGCTTTGTAATGTCGGGGTGCCGGGTTTGATCCCTGCTGTAGACGGTTTGTCTTGCGATGGTTTCGGCTGTGGTACCGAGAGCCGACCGTCCAGTGGCAATGAAAAACTACTAAATTTGCCTAGAAAAACCACAACAGCCAGAAAGTGTTGGGGTTGGTTCTGCAACAGTAGTTGCACTATTTATGCACAGTCAATATGAAAGCAATAGTTTTCTTCCAATTTTCGTAAAAATACTATAGCACTACTAAATATTTATCCTCTGCACTGTAAAGGTTAGTTGCGTAACCTTTACAGGACGTTGCATAACCAATCCCAACATCCAGCCTGGCTGTTGTGTACTTTTTCTAGGCAAATTACGTTCAGTAGTTTGCCATTGCTCTCTGGGCGGTCGGCTTTCTTGATACCACTGTCGAAACCAATGCAAGGCGCATGGATAGCAGCTGGGATCGAACCCAGCATCCCGGCATTACGAAGCGTTCGCATGGACTTAGCCACAGAGCCGACACACTGTACAGACAGAGACTATATACAAGTCAACATGTTTATGTGGTTTTAGATGAGAGATGACAAAATTCTTTCTTTATTGAAGCAATTTGATTTGCAAATTTGTCCATTTTCCTCTTGTTAGATGAATTCAGTCCCTGAATTTGTTGGTAATTATTTAAAAATACATTACACAGTGGAGATATTGCTTTTGAAATAATACCTGACTTTGGACATTCATTAGCACACACACCATTCCCTTCATCAAAACAATATTTCTGAATACAGCATGTACAAATCCAGCAATATAAGCTAGTGATTCCTCTGTGCATTCAAAGCACAAAAACTCACTGTCATTAGGATTAATGTGGAAAAATACATTGTCTGCATCAGACTGGATGACATCTTCAAAAACATTATGGCATTCATTATCTACTGTGCTGACAACCTCTGCAACGATTCCACAAACAGATGATGTTAGGTATACAATGCGGTAAATGTTTAATTTCTTTTAAATTTTCCTGCTTCCCAATTTTTTTCACCAACACGAGATAGTTTGCACCTGATAATTGTCGATATTCTACAGATCTTCTAAATTACTGTTTGTAGTTACCCCAAAAGTAAGATTTCCAAATTCAAAGTAGAAAAAAAAATAATAGTCAGTCAGTTCACAAAATCCAGACTACTGACTAGACTAAGCATACACAACACAACACGACTGTCTCCCGTGAATTTAAATTGGAATTACTTTAATCTAACGCAGCAAAGTTTGACAATCTTGTATATCCACTTCACAGTATCCTCTTGTCGATTACGAATACATTCAGAACACAGAACTTTGTAGGCACAATAAAATACCATACAAGGCAACACATGGCCTGTTTACTCTCTAGCCTCTGTGCTATAATGTCACGTGATTAGCTGTGGGGACTATAAATAGAGTCGAACGTGGGCGACCTAGGAGCCCTGGAAGAATAACAAAAACCAGCATACCATTATAAAACATTTGGCTAAACCCAGGCCTTTATCAACTCTCCACCTACCCTGGACAGCGTTATCACTGTCCCAATATGATTTCAGGTTACTTGGTAACTGTCGGGGACCCCATTATAACCTTACAGGTGAACGGGGCTTAATTATCTGTACATATATTATTCTCACCCTTGAGATGTCAATCCTGCGGACTGCGGTCTGGAGGAAACAAATTAAAATGCTATAATAGAAAGACAAAAGCAGTTGGCTTAGATGGCGGATCAACATCATGGCACAGGTGTAACCCATAACTGCTCCGTTCTACTTCTGACTTAAGCCTGAGTCCGAAGAATCTCAGCACAGTCCACAAACTCAGTAGCACCGGTGAGGATCCTGAAATACTTTGGGTAGATTTTAAACTCCTAATTTTGCCCTGGCAGCGCCGTTAGGCTACTCTTTTTGATTTCTAACTGCTAAGGGATTTTTTACGCACATAACAATACACACGGGCATCCGATCTTACAACCCAGAGACCAGGGGAAGATACTAAAAGTCCACGTGGAAAAAAAAACCCAGCGAGACCTGAACCCGGGAGCTCCAACACTCGAGGCGGACGCCATGCCACGAGACCACGCAGACCTAGACAGAAGTATTGATGACAGCCAAGGGCAGTTCCTAAATGCATAATTACAGTCAAAGGGGTTATTTTAGGACAAGCACAGAAATTAAGGCGTCTAGTCACTTGGCTAACCTGTTACGGAAGATGTATCATGGAGATAAAGAACATGAAGAAGACAAGCCAAAACTGCATTTTATAAAATGAAGAACATTTTGAGCAGTCATCATCATGTGGCAGGTCCTTGCAGAACGTCGCTCTGAAGGTCTGTCTGAAAGAAACTCATCTCTCGCCAGCTCTCTCGCCTCGTGAACTTTTATATTTAAGGAGTCGTTTATATCCTCTGCCATTCTTCTTGTTGGTCAGCCCCTCCCACCCCCCCCTCCCCCACCCCCGATTCCTGGTACCATGCTTTTTTGCTATTATTTTTTCCCAGTCTGTCATGGCGCATAATATGACCTAAATATGTCAGCCACTGAGACCTGATGCTCTTTATTAGCCAGTCTTCCTTGATGTTTAGATTTGTTAAAATGTCAAGATTTCTTCTCCTTTTTGTCCGCGACTGAAATCCGTATGTTGGAAGGGAGATCATGCTCTTCAAATTTTAATTTGATTTTCTTGCTAGTACTTAACCATAAGTCGGCTCTGTGGCTAAGTCGATGCGAACGCTTCGTAATGCCGGGATGCCGGGTTCGATCGAGACATGCGGCTTGCATTGGTTTCGACAGTGGTATCAAGAAAGCCGACCGTCCAGTAAGCAATGGCAAACTACTGGACGTAAATTTGCCTAGAAAAACCACACAAAAGCCAGGGGCTGTTGAGGTTGGTTCCGTAATGTCCTGTAAAGGATACACAACTAACCTAACTTATCCATAAACTTTTAATGCTGTTTAACTAATGTTTGCATTGCTATGGCCAACCTTCTTTTGATTTATGTAACTACGTCATAAGCTATTTATTATAGAGTACATATCAGCGGTTCTTAACCTGTGGGTCAGGACTCTTGTGGGGGGGGGGGGAGGGGGGGGGGTCGAACGACCCTTTCGCATGTATCGCCTAAGACCATCGGAAAACATATTCACTGAAATTATGAAGTAGCAACACAAATAATTTTATTCTTGGTGGTCACCGCAACAATACCACCCCTGCTGCTTCTGCTGCTACTACTATTACTGCTGTTTCTGCTACATAAATTGTGGTTACTGTAGCGACTTTTAAGCCTACATCGCTAATTCTACTTAGTGAACTCCGAATTACAATACCGGATTATAAATGACACGAAGGTTTGCAAGTGGCATCAAATACAGTGCGATGTCTTCATGTCGCGGGCATTAGATTAAAAAAAAAAAACACAAAAAACAATAAGCGGTTCAGATATGTTCTCTTTATGTTGAGGATTTTCCCATAAGAATGTGCATCATAGTGTTATTTGTCACATACTGCGGCGTACATTTGTTGGGTATGTTATGAGAATGTGAAAGCTGGAGTGTGTTATGACAAGCAGACAATTTTGAAACTAAGAGAGGAAAGAAATAGGCAGGCAGGTCGACATCGCCGCAAAGAGAAACATTTATATTAAACGACTATACAAGAAGCGGAAAGCTATGACTGACCAAAGCAGAATGGCATCTATACGTAGTAGAAGAAGAAGAAAATAAAATAAGAAGAAGAAGCGAAGTAGGGGCAAAGAAAGAGAACCGGATGCGTAGTGATTCTAGTAGTAATTATTATAGTAGTGAAGGAGATATCGAATAAGAAGGAGGAGGAGGAGAAGCAGTAGATTTAGCTTCGATGGTTATTTATTTATGCTTCTCTAATGATTTGATTTGATTTGATTAAAAAACCGACATCACAGCACTCGGGGCATTCCCATAAGCGCTCCGTCCCCATCTTCAGC